CCTTATGGTTTTCTTATAAATTGACCTGAAAAATGGGGGGTCGGTTAACCTTCTCTAACTATGAAAATATGAAAAAAGGTCATAGGAGAGAGCTAGTACCCCCTCTCCTCCCCCCTTCCCTCCTCCCCCCCCCTCCCTCCCCCTCCCCCCCCTTATCCCTATTCACCTCCCTCCTCTCCCCCATTATGCGCCTCCTCTCCCCCACACCTTCCCCGGCCACTTCGACAGCCAAATATCCCCCGTTATGCGCGCAGAAATCCCAGTGTTGAAGAAGCAAACGGGGTAGAATCTTGGAGAAAGTCACAAAAGGAGGGAAACTAGAGAGGGGAGAGAAAGTTGAAGGGAAGAGGTCGCAGGATGTGAAGGATGCAAGAGTACGGGTATTTATTTCAGAAATTAATAGTGTTGAATCTGTTGACTTCACCTAAGATGACGACGATGATGTTAATGCTGATAGAAAATACTGACTCCCACAAAAGATAGTGATGTAGATGATGATGATGCTGATGATGAAAACGATGCCATGTAGAGATGATAATCGAAATGAACCCATTGCCTATGACTATGACTTCAACAATGATGTCCTTACCTCCCAAAAGCCGACGCTGCAGAAAACCACGTCAATAATTCCATCACACAGCAAATGCAGTCTTGATGATGCCGATATTTTAGCTTCCCTGCAAATGCCGCATTTCTCATAAACCAATGAAATGAAACGGACTATAGATGACAAAATCCCATCAAAAACCTCCCACTTCGTAACTCCCAACAATCTTCCCCCCACCTCGTCGGACACACCCTGCTCTCCTCCTTCTTGCGCCACGCCGACCTCCTCCACCCAAGTTAGCAAGATGGAGAGCATGAGTGATCCCTCCTAAAGAAAAGCAATGAAATAACACTTCTCTCCCCTCCATATGACATGCTGCCCCGCAGCATCGCCCACATGAAGCACCAGGCGAAGATATGGCACACACAGTGCTTTCAAAAGTCAGGAATTAGAAAATGAATAGGTGTAATAATCTCGTCATCCATCTATTAGCGCCTTCTCCATTCCTCATCAATGTTGATATGTTGTCGAGACCATTTCCGCGCTATCATGCCACGCTTGCATCCTTGGTTTCGCCCATACTCCTGCCAGCCACAGTAGCAAGCCCCAGTAGACGCCTGCGCCCATACAGAGAGCAAAGCCTGTTTGAACTTCCATGGACACTCACGCGACCTTCGAGCACACCTTGCCCGCCAGCCACGACCGCGCGCACCCCCGGAAGCGCGCGCCCAGAAAACCATCAACATTTGTAACATTCGCGCACGTGCACCTGACGATCGCGACACGTGCGCACTTACACCTGAACGTTCCATGGAGATAACACCAATACTGATCCGAATACACGGTCAAATACAGCAACAATGGTCAGTGCAGCGCAAACCACTATACGCGAGCGCAACACGAGCGGAACACAAACACAGCAATGCCAGCCACAACACTCTACCGCAGCGTGAGCGTAGCCCGAATGAACCACAACCCGCTAGCGCCACACGAGCACAGCGCGAACACAGCCGTGCGAGCCACAGCTCGCGAGCGCAGAGCGCACACAGTCCGAACACAGCGCTATCCATCGCGCCTAGGTTGACTATCAACCGGGAGCAGAACGTTCTGAGAACCGGGCTCAGTGTCCCTTATGATATACATAGCTAGAAGTTTGAGAACTTCAACAGAACTTTAAGAGAAACAAACAGAGAAACCACCCAAGAGAGGGAGAAGGTTAGAATTGAAGGCCAGGAACTGATGGACATCCTGCAACAATTTATCCACACAGAAATTGGTGCTCACTGGTCCAAGGTTAAACAGGACTTCGATATCCTAATTCCAAAAATGGACATTACAACAAGAAATTTCAGAAATTCAATCTAAACTGGTGGATCAACAAAAGGCAGAGGAAGAGGATCCTCACAGAGAGATGAAGCGAGACTACAGGCTTCAGTTTCAAGAATGAATGGCTATTGATCCAGTGTTCCCACTCAGACCGGCGCAGGACTTCGGGGACCCAGTCGGGCCATTCCCTCCTCATCCACTGGGAGTGGTGGGAATCCTGCAAGAAGGGGTCTAGTCACAGACTGCTCAGGCATCAGCAGAGCTCACTCTGTTTTGTCCTGTTTTCCTTTATTCTCCGCAAGGGGGGGGAGGGAGGGGCCCAATGCCATGGAGCCTGGTGCCCCCCGGGGCCCAAGGGGTTGGCACCCATCCCGGCCACCTCCGTCCCTGCTCAGTCAATCCCGTGAGGACCACGGTAGTCAATGCTGGCACCACAGTTCTAAAGGGACACTGGACCCGGTTTCCAGCAGGTGGTGCTTCCCACCAATAGATGGAGCCTCTCGGGGGGTGCTAGTCGTGTCCGCTCCTATCGGCATCCCTAGCATCAGCTCGGACTGTTTGAAAAAGAAAAAAGGGGATACCTCAGGGGAGAAACTGCGGGAAGTACTTTGGCGAGGGGGAGTAAGCAGCGAGGTCTCCTTTAAAAGGGACTATCAATTCATCTTCCACGACTGGCTCAGAGTGCAGCCAGGAGCCTCTCTGAGATCTCCCCATCTAATCCCGGATTTCTTCCCCCCATAGGATTTGGCATTGGTGGAAACCTAATGGTATGGTGGAAATGAGGATTGAAGGAACAGGTTAAACAAATCTGGAATCAGGTTTTATGGATCTATCTGGCGGACTTCTATTTAGTCTGAAGAGGTGACAGATTTCATGTTTAGTAGGAAATCAGGCTATGAGATGAGGGATGCTGGGCCCGGTTACCAGCAAACGGTGTAACAGTTATCGTTATCAGACGATGTTCTTGAGGGGATGCTGGACCCGTTTTCCAGCAGGTGCATCTGCCCACCAATAGACAGGAGCCCCCTGCAAACCAACCCTGCTGGAAATGGGGTCCAGCATCCCATGCCTTTGACTGTCTGAAACCAAAAAATGGGGGTCTGCCTCTTCATCCATCATGCCGGATTCTGGAAATTATTGTTGTTCTAGTATCCTCGTTATTGCCGTCAGCCTGTCCGAGTTCCAGGTAAGTGCAGCCCATCCCTTGGTTGTGGTAGACAGCGAAATCCTAGCCTTGCTGCTCGCCCGTCCCAGTCTGTAGTTTCCCCTGCAAATCTGTTCCCCGTGCTGTCTGTACTGGGGCTGGGGAGCTAACTCTGTCTATCCCGAAGCTCCCATGTTCATCAACTGACTATGCTGTGGCAGATGACAAAGTGATATCTATGTATGGTCCTCTCTAACGATAGTATCCACTATAACCTATATGGTATATAGTCACATAAAATTCAAACCACCAGTACACCCAAGCCTGGAGGCGCTGCACTGCGCACCGAGCTTTTCCGAACCTCCAGCGGCGCACTCCTTTTCTTTCTTGGCCGGCCCCCCCAGCCATTGTGGTCTGGTAGGCTCAAGCCACGGAATTTTTGGAGTAGGCAACAAATAAATCTCTCCAAGGAGTGTAGCGGTGTTTTAAGCCAGCAGTACTTCCGGAGGTCGCAGCGTGCATGGGACCAGCCATGGCTACAGTAGTGCAATGTTTCCACTCGAATGAATTTATGCCATTGCCCCAGGCCCGTTTGTCCCAGCATATCGAGGGGCGCATGCGGCCATTACTTTTGGAAATACCGGTGGTTTAAGCCCTTTGATTTGCACAGAGGAACACTGCTGGTTTTGTCACTACCATCTTCACCACAATACAATTTATGATCCTTATTGCCGTATAAGTTGCCCCAAATACATCTATAATGACTGTACATTGTATTCGGGTGAAGACGGTAGTATCAGGCGACCTGGAGACAGGAGGAAGAGGCAGCGTCTTGACGGTCACTCCTCTGGGCACCCAGAGGAAATGATGTTGCAATGTTTATCACAGACAAATGACAAGCAAAATAGTTGGCGCTGGGACCCACGTTCCAGCAAATACTGCTCCCCACCATAGACCAGAGTCATCAAACACAGAGCAGCGCTAGCAGAGGCTGCATACCACCCCTGCTAGTCCCCCGGGAAGATATTGAAGGAACCAAAAAAAAAAGTACTCGTGTGCTTGACAATGCATTTGCCTATATTTGTTTTATTATGATATCGCAGCAGACACGGGAGTACAGAGTGCTGGATACACGGGTCCATTCCCTGGGGCCACTGACCATGCCAAGCCCAACGAAGTCCTCAGTCGTGATGATGATGGTGGTGCCAATGATAGGCATGGCGGCAAGAAATTGAAGGTACCCGATGCCAACACCGTTACAGCAAAGTCAGACCATTTGCAGCAAAAATATGTTGCAAACGTGCGTGGGCCGCAAAAGAAACCAGCAGATCTGCATGAGAGAGTCAGGAAATGGTTCAGCAGATCCAGCAAATCACTTGTAGGCAAGGGGCAAGAAGGGGAAGGAGTGACTAGTAAAGCTGCAAACAGTAGAAGAGATGAAAGTGATCCCGCCACAAGAGCAGTAAGTGCTCAAGCTAAGCCAGGGCAAGTGCTATGTGGGACAGAGGCAAGGGACTCGCTGGGACGACGACATCTGACTGGTCCTGGACCTGGAAGTGGTCCTGTAAGTGGTCATGGAAGTGGTCTAAGGACTGGTCCTGAGACTGTTCCTGCAACCACCCAAGCCATCGGAGCCAATGATCCAGGGTGAGTGCCAATACTCCACAACCGCCCTCCTCGTTTATCTACCTCATCTGTATAAAATTCACCTTTTTTTTTTGTTAAGACATCGTGGATGATTGGCAGTGTTCTTGGGTAATGTTGGTACCTTGCGGGGTTAGACCACCAGTACATCATGGCCTGGAGGCGCTGGCTGCACTGGGCGCCAAGCACCGCCAGCGACACCTTTTTGCTTTCTTGGCCCCATTGTGGTCTGGTAGGCCCGAGGTGTGAAATTTTTGGATGGGCGGCGAGTTCATTTGTAGCAAGGCTGGGGCCGTGTACTGGCCGTCTAAACCACCAGTTCATTCCTTACATTTGCCGCAGGCCCCTTTGGGAGGCCATAACGTGACGCCTGCGGCCGATGTTTTTCATCAACGGCACGCCGGCCCCCAACTTTTCGGACTAGGTGACCAGTTTCTTTTAGCAAGGCTGGGGATGTGTACTGGCAGTTTAAACCACCTGTACATGGGCACCTGGGCCGCAGGCCTGAC